TGTGTACCGCGGCGCAATGCCCACCTCGGGACTCGGGAGTCTAGCCAGTGCTGAAGTGGTCTCATATGGAGCAATCCAAGCGGCATGACTGCGGCTACGGATGCCATATGCCCCAGGAGCCTCTGAAAGTGTTTCAGTGGTACCATCGTCCTACCTCTGAAGGAACTCAGGCAGTCCAGCACTGACTAGGCACGCTCGTCTAACTCCACACTGAGAAAAGAGATTCTCTGCACAGGGGAGAGCTTGCTCTTTTCCCAGTTGACCCGAAACCCCAACTGGCTGAGGTGCAGGAGCACCATGTCCCTGTGATCGCACAACTGTTCTCTCGACCGGGCCATAATGAGCCAGTTGTCGATATAGTTGAGAATCCTGATGCCCACTTCCCGTAATGGGGCAAGGGCGCCCTCTGCAACCTTCGTAAAGACGCGGGGGGACAGGGACAGCCAGAAGGGGAGGACCCTGTACTTCCATGCCTGACCCTCGAGCGCACATCGAGACCTGAAAATAAGCGGCATTCAGGTCGATCGCTGCAATCCAATCCTGGGGCTGGATGCATCTGATGATGCGCTTCTGTGTCAACATCTTGAATGGGAGCTTGAGAAGGGCCCAATTCGAGACTCGCAGATCCAGGATTGGCCGGAAGCCACCACCCTCTTTGGGTACGATGAAGTAAGGGCTGTAAAAACCTCTGCTTCATCTCGGCTGGAGGGACCGGCTTGATTACATCCTTTGCCAGGAGGACAGCAATTTTCTTGCGCAAGACAGGTGCGTCTCGGTCTGCCACCGAAGTCTCGAGAACGCCGCTAAACCTGGGAAGTCGCCTGAATCGCATAGCCGGGTCTGAATGTATGAATGAGCCAGCGGGACGGGTCGGGCAGTGCAAGCCACGCCCCCAAACTCCATACGAGTGGCACCAAAGGAACAATCGATGCACCCGCGCTGGTGCAGCGGAAGGGAGTCGAGCTGGATAGGCCAGAAGGCATCGCGTTCTGACTGATCACAGCAGAACTCCCCTTGTCCCCGGAGGGACTGGCCAGAGCTGCGTGGAGAGGCAATGCATCTTCCAACCGCACCTTCTTGGCTGCTGGCAAAGGGGGGCATCGTGGGTGAGAGTGAGGAAGCGACTCGTCGCTCACTGTCAGCCCACGGGCCTGAGAACCCGAAGGAAAAGGAAATTGCGCCTATTGTCCCCTTGAGCCAGCCGCCCGGCCCTCCTCCGGGGGAAGGAGTGGCGCTGTCTCCGCCATCTCCAGAGAAAGAGCAGCTTCCCACATCTCCGGGTTGCCCATGTCAGGGCCGCTTCATCGACTACTTAGATGACTTAGCAGCCAGCTGGGACACGGGGAGCGCCGCACTCCTGCGAGAGGCTCAACGCGCTGGCTCTGCAGGACGCAGGAGGGCTCCCACGGCAACGAGCAGACAGGGGCTTGGCCAACGGCGGAGCGTTGGCATATGGTGTATCACGCCGGGGCAAAATGTGTTGAATGGCTTTGGTCTGCTTCTGTACTGTCGAGAACTTCTGGGCACAGTCCTCGACGGTGTCGCCGAACAGTCCAGCCTGGGAGATGGGAGCATGGAGAAAGCGCACTTTGTCGACATTGCAAGGCTGAGGTAAATGTAACGTTATGTAACATTGTTTACAAGATGTTTTATTGATGTCTGTGGTTGAAATAGATTGAGCCATTACATGAGACACAATAGAGCCTTTTGCAACGCTTTAGTTCCAGAACTAAATGTACAGTACTAAAGTACTGGGACGATTTTGCGCGAACTATTTCCCAGTACAATTTAAAGGGTTGCATTCGCACCGACAGTGTGTACTAGGAAGTGATGTAAGCCGGTCGACAGCGACGTCATTTTTGTGCAGTGTTCAACAACGGAAACAAAGAAGAACAACGTTAACAACAGGAGGATGGAGGATGCTGTGATCGGAGCTGTGTTTTTGTTGTGTCTCGCGGGTTTCACAATAATGGACATGGAATGTCGAAGTATACGTAAAGCGATTGTAAGAACTGAAAGAAGGACTAAGAATCTCCAATGAGAACTGGCAGTGCTACATTTGCTACAAGTGCCTGCACTTTAGCGTCCGTCCATCTATCGCTGTTCTCCATACTTGCAGAATAAATTGACACAGTGTTTACAGTACATTTACATGGCGTTTTAAATCATGGCGGGTGAGGGCGTTTTCATACGCGTTTGGCCAATCAATGTCTACTTACGTCACGGGCAGTACCAGTTGTGCTGGTTAGACCCTGCTCCGGAGTAGGAGCTAATTTGGCTCTCGAAAAAGGTAGTCCGGTACTAAAATAGCACCCAGTTCCGGTGGTGCGAAAATGCCAAAAAGTGGGTAGTTCCACAATTAGTTCTGGTACTATGAAAATGTTCCCGCGGTGCAAAAGGCCCTAATACATTTCAGTGAGTTGTACTTTTTCTTTCAACATACGTTCTAATGTTCAGTCATGTTTATTTTGTGCTACAACTAGTAGTGAAGAAGAGATGATCGGTTCACGTGTCATATACTGTATATACAGTCATGGCCAAAAGTTTTGGCAGTAACATAAATTTTGTGTTTTGAAAAGTTTGCTGCTTCAGTATTTGTAGATTATTTTCCACGTTTCTATGGTATACTGAAAAACAATGATAAGCATATCATAAGTTTTAAAGGCTTTTATTGGCAAAAATATATAATGAGTCAATATTTACAGTGTTGACCCTTTTTCTTCATAACCTCTGCAATTCGCTCTGGCATGCTGGATATTAGCTTCTGGGCCAAATCCTGACTGATGGCGATCCATTCATGCTTTATTAGTTCTCGGAGTTGATCACAATTTGTGGGCTTCTGCTTGTCCAGTCGCCTTTTGAGAACTGACCACAGGTTCACTATGGGATTGAGATCCGGGGAGTTGTCTGGCCACGGATCCAAAATTTCAATGTAATGATCTCCGAGTCACTTATTTATCACTCTTGCTTTGTGAGATGGTGCTCCATCATGCTGGAAAATGCACGGATCATCACCAAATTGCTCATGGGTCGTTGGAAGAAGTCGCTCTTGCAGGACGTTTTGATACCATTCTTTATTCATGGCAGTGTTTTTGGGCAGAATTATGAGAGAGTCCACTCCCTTGGTTGAAAAGCATGGATGGTCTCAGGATACTCGTTGTACTTCTTGCAGAATTTCAGACTTCTTTGCAGCAAAGAAGACTGAAATTCTGCAGGAAGTACAAGGATTGGACTGCAGAAGACTGTTGCAAAGTTATTTTCTCTGATAGTTCTTCCGACTATTTGGGACATCTGGAAAATCGATTGTTCGGAGAAGAAAAGGTGAACGCTACCATGAGTCCTGTGTTGTGACGTACAAGAGACCTTTGAGCAAGGCACCGGACCTCCAACTGCTTCCCGGGTGCCGCAGAAAAAATGGCTGCCCACTGCTCTGGGTGTCTGTGTGTGTGCGTGTGTTTGGTCACTACTCATTGCTGTGTGTGTGCACTTGGATGGGTGAAATGCAGAGCACAAATTCCGAGAATGTGCTGGAAACATCCTTTTCTTTTGTCCTTTCCTTAAAGATAAAGCTTATGCCATTTTCCTCACTTCATACATTTCAGGGTCAACTTTCCCGCCCACTTATGTGATGTCACACCAGTGAGGGCATTCAATTTTGATTATGTGGTCTTACAGCTAGGGCTCAGCAAAAATGTTTTTATTTTCACTCATTAGGTGAGAAAATCTCTGTTAAACTGTCCCGTTTGACCTTATGTCCCAATCACCTTTAATTTGTATGTTTTATCGCTTTTTCTTTGTGTAAAAACACAGGAGGAGGTTGAGGAGGTAACGAGAAGATGCTGGATGGCAAATCTATTCATAATGTCACTGATTAACTGCCTATCACTCAATAAAATATTTCTGAGATATTTGAATGCTTTGTATTTTGTTTGGTTTAATAACATATTGTATAAGGTTTAAAACATTTAAATAGACATATCAAATAATGGAAAACAAAAGACTGATATTATGCTTAGCAAGCTCTGATTTCAGAGACACACACACAAAGACGGCTACAAGGCTATTTCATTAGTGCTCAATTAATTCACAGAGGAAACACTCATTTACTTCACTCACTCATTACTGCGTAGTGAGGCAGGGGCGAACTTAGTGATTTGGGGACCCTAAGCACATTTCAGGAATGGGGCCTCAACACACCAAATGTGTGTGCGTTTTTTTTTTACTTTTGTAACACTTTTTTGCTGTCTCTCTCAGAGTTTGGAGTTTATTTACCCCATCACAATTTGTCTATGAGATCCAGTTTTCAACCTAATGTTGTTCTAAAGCCGTATTCACAAAAAATAAATCATAAATGAATGAATGCATGAATGAATGAACGAATGAATGAAAATAAATAAATATTCAAGCTTGCAGATGTCCATTCAATGGCAGTGACTTGTGACAATCTTTTTAAAAAAGCAACATGCCATTCCAATTGTTCTGAATGCATATATCAAAGAGTGTTACGATTCAATTGTCATAGGCCTACTTATATATTATGAAAGGTAAACTAAATGGTGTCATATAGAGTTTGATCCCTGTGGAAGAGAAAAATTCAAATGCCACTGTACACCATTAAAAAAATGTAAAGAGACGTAAAGTACCCATATACAGTAAAATTTCGCCCTCAAAAATTACTTCCTTGGTGCAGCCTATTGTTGATTTAGTTAAATTAATTTATATTTTTGAAACATGTTAATTTAAATGTCACCACATTAAATTTTTAGGTTACATGACAAACAATTTACAGTGTGCACTATACAATGCAGAGAAATAAATAATGGACTGTTAATCATTACGTTTGTGTCGTTCCCTCAGTGAATATGAATGCATAAAGAAACGCACGTCCACGATTATAATAATGTACATTGAACAATACTAGTGAGCATCCGACCGGACACTGCATGTGCTCAGTGAAATCACTGGAGAGTCTATTCTGGTAAAAAGAAATGGCGTGGGAAAACACACTGAGGGCGGGCTGAATCTGTAGGCTAGTCGTCTCTCTTTCGTTGTCTGCACTCATTAGATCTCGTCGCAGAGTTTTGAGAGCTTCAAGTAGAGCGTGACTTATAATAACATCATGCGAAGGCAATAGCGAAACTGACAAAAGATAATGACAGAGAGAAAATACGCAGGTCCAGTTCTCTGGCGAGGAAACGGCACATTGGATTAATGCTTTAATGTAGCGAATGTTCACACGTGGGCATTTATTATAATTTTTTATTTTGTTAAATACAAGCCTTGCTGAACGGAGCGGGTGCGAGGGGTTGAATGCAGCCGCGCGAAGCGAACTGTCTACCGCTACAGTAAGTACACTGCACGCACACAAGTTTGTTGCTGTAGATTTTTGTGTATGCCACAATACTGTATTCAGAAATTTGTTTGCTCTTTGTCTTTTTTTTAAATGAAAGACTAGTTTCCGTTTTTATCCTAATGTGTAAATGTACATTTGTGGAGTTCCATGTAGCATACTTTCACATTGTCATTGTAATTGACTGTTTGGGTAATCGATTTAGGCTATGTAGCGTTTCAGTTACGTTGAGGACGTGCAGTCTATTTGAAATACTTTCTTCCTTATAGGTTAATCAGTCAAAGGAACTGATTGTCACATGCCACTTCTCGCAAATGAAAGTAATCAAAGAGAACATGTTCAGCTGTACGCAGATAACTGCCTACTTTAATTGTTTTATTATGGAATGCAGGGCATCTGTCTCTACATCTGTTCTAGTCATCACACTACCACCATTCGCCATTAGATACTGACATTAATCAATCCTGTTTGTGTTCTGCTTTTTATGGAAAAATTAGGCTACATTCTGCAAATCTGGCTGCTGAAAAGTATACTGAATGCAGCTGATGTCTGAATATTGATAAATATATAGAATAAATGATTTGCAAACCATCTAATAAGAAAAAAAAACTGAATAAAAAACTGAAAAATGTATTGCACTGTTCATTATTTTTTTATATACATATTATGTTTTATGCAGTCCTTTTGCAGAGATGTGAGTAGAACCTGTAATTGGTGTCTCACACAAAAGGAGGATGCTGGCAGATTGTACTTGGCAAGAGTGCTGATATAGGTTTAGTATTCTACCCTGGTATACCATTGGAGAAGTTGACTGGGTGCAAAAAAAGAAAGAAGTGAAATTTGGAAAAAGAAGAACAATACTTCAGAACATACAACCAGTTTGACAATGTAATAATCTCAATCAGCATCATTGTCCCCCTTTTTACATCTATTCAATGTTTATTTTTTCCTCATGTGATGAGCACTTGTTTTGTTCCTCTGCATACTACCCATCAAAATGTGCTCTTATTCTGTCTCCATTTGTTAATTTTTCTTTTGGCAACGATCTTTCACATGCAAACCTTCTGTTCGGATTGAAAAAAATGTTTCTCCTTCTTCTTTTTTCTTGGCAGTTTCACTTAAGTGTGTTTAAAAGCTTTGCTGATTTAAAATTCTCCTCCACAGTGGATTGCCTTTGCTGGCATAGGCATTTGTTTCTTTCAGTGGTATTGGGCACAGGCCAAGTATGAAGGACTAAGAGACAGCAGGTGAAATTATTTATATCCTTTAATTTGTGATGGTGGAAGCATAATGATTAAGGATCTCAGCTTCAAAACAGAAAGCTTGCAGATTAAATCCCATTGTCATGCACACACAGAAGAGGAGACTCACAGAAACATTCAAGATGTTTGACAATTGGAAACAGGTAAGTATGTTGAGTAACTTAAATCAGAAACAGTGTGCTTATCTCTTGCAGGTTAGTGCTGGAAGCGGTCCATGGAGGAAGAAGACAGACGTCATGATATTCCACAAAGGATAACAGGTAAGCAGTCAGGCAGGCAATGAAGGTAGACATTGACAAGATCAACATCTTTTGTTGATCCTGGATCAACATTACTGTCCATAAATATAGACTAAACCCAATCCCTACCCCTAAACCTAACCCTACCCATCATTTATTCCTAAATCAGTGTGAAATGATAGCTGATTACCAAGGGTGTAGAAGCACCTAACCCTGATCATAAGCCTAAAACAGATATTTCCTGAAAAGTTATCCCTCAATTCTGATTGGTTAATCGGAATTTACTGTCCATAAATATAGACTAAACCCAATCCCTACCCCTAAACCTAACCCTACCCATCATTTATTCCTAAATCAGTGTGAAATGATAGCTGATTACCAAGGGTGTAGAAGCACCTAACCCTGATCATAAGCCTAAAACAGATATTTCCTGAAAAGTTATCCCTCAATTCTGATTGGTTAATCGGAATGTTGTTCCAGGAACATGTTGTACTTGGTGAAATCACGGTCACCATGTATGGACGGATGTATATGTATATGTGTGCATATGTATATTTTGAATTATTAATTGGTGTAGTATTATTTAATATGTTTTGAATATCTTTCAATTTATTTTATGCAATGATTCAATCTCAGTATTGCTAAGAAGAAAATTAAACTTCAAACTTCATGATGTATCCCAGGAATGAGATGGTGGTTTTATGGAATTCTCATTTCACTAGCTTGAGGTATAGATGGTGTTGCCTCAGCTTCTGCAGGACCTGCATAACGTGTTGGTGATGGTTGGCCAGGGTCCGGGAGTAGATCAAGATGTCATCGATGTAAATGATCACGAAGCGATGGAGGAACTCCCGGAAAACCTCATTCATGAATCCTTGGAATACGGAGGGTGCGTTGGCCGGCCCATATGGCATAACAAGATATTCAAAGTGGCCTGCAGGAGTGATGAATGCCGTCTTCCACTTGTTCCCCCTCCATATCTGGATGAGGTTGTAGGCACTACGCAGATCCAGTTTGGAGAAGAAGCAACCGCCCCACAGTTGTTACAGTGGGGATGGGACCAGAGAAAGGGGATAATGGTACTTTACAGTTTGGGAATTGAGGGCTTGGTAATCGATACATGGCTTGTTTACTGAAGACGTCTTGGAATGCCCGGTATTCCTGGCGTATCTCCACTTGATGGTGAGAATCGGGGCTTTCAATGGAGGTGGAATTCACAGGGATAGAAGGCCCGGACTTGGGGAGAGTAATGGGAAGTGGTAGGTTGGGAAGACAGCTCTGGAGACATTGCTCACTCCAATGCAGAATTTCACTATTGTACCAGGAAATTATGGGCTGATTTTGTTCCATCCACTGCGTCCCATGATAATCCACTGTTGACCCCTCCAGCACCATAAATGATATATCCTCAGAATGCAGGCAGCCAATGTGGAGCATAATGGTTGGAGTGAGGTGGGTGATGATACCTCGGCCCAACGGTTTTCCCAGAATGGTGTTGATGTTCAAAGATTGTGGGCTGGGGACTCTCTTGAGGTGGAGTCGGCGGAGAAGGCTGCTGGAGATGAGTCCCCGGGAATGATTCAATTTGCAAGCAGCGAGGTGTTGAGCAATCCAAATTGATTTTGAGATGAATCTCTCCAATCCAACGGTGCCGTCATAAATCGCCATCTGTGCCCGGATAGATGGAGCAAGACCCTGATGGTAAGACATGATTAATGCATTCTCGTTCCATCCGCTAGCAGCAGCAAGGGTCCAAAATTGTAGAGCATAATCAGCCACAGTAGAACACCCTTGACAGGGATGGTACTGAGAGGGTGGTGGCAGCTTGCCCAAATACCTCCTTGATATGATTCATGAAATCATCCAGAGATCATGTGACCGGGGTGTTGGATTCCCACAGTGTTCTCACCCACTGCAGAGCCCTGCCAGAAAAGAAAGATATAATATAGGCATTTTTAGAGCATTCAGAGGGGAACCGGTAAGACTGCTTCTCAAAATACAGCAAGCATTGCAAGATAAACCCGCTGCAATCCTCCACCGTGCCAGAGAACATCGCTGGTTGGGCTATGGGACTCGCTACACCATCCAGCGACAAAGCCGATGAGGAAGTAGCCAGTTGCAATGATTGAAGAAGAAGGTGTACCAGTTCGGCAAAGGGATCAGTTTCGGGATTAGGAGTGGCACCGCTCTCCATATGGTCTGGTCTGATTCACAGAAATGTTCAAGATGTTTTTTGATGATTGGAAACAGGTAAGTATGCTGAGTAACTTAAATAGGAAACAGTTAGTGTGCTTATCTCTTGCAGGTTGGTGCTGTCAGCGGTCCATGGAGGAAGAAGACAGATGTGATGATATTCCACAAAGTATAACAGGTAAGCAGTCAGGCAGGCAATGAAGGTAGGCACTGACAAGACCAGACAGGGAATGACTGTGAAGTGCGGGTATTTGAGGGCTGATTCTAATGAGTGTAACACGTACAGATGATCAGTACTCCGGTGATTGAGATCGGGGAGGTGTGGTGATGGAGTCTGGTGCTGAGGGGTTGACAGATTCCGTGACACCCATGGTGTGACAGGAGAGGTACATGAGGTTAATTCTTACATGAGGTACAGTCATGGCCAAAAGTTTTGGCAGTGACATATACTGTATTTTGTGTTTTGCAACGTTTGCTGCTTCAGTATTTGTAGATTATTTTTCCACATGTTTCTATGGTATACTGAAAAACAATGATAAGCATTTCATAAATTTTAAAGGGATTTATTGGCAAAAATATAATGAGTCAATATTTACAGTGTTGACCCTTGTTCTTCATAATCTCTGCACTTTGCTCTGGCATGCTGGATATTAGCTTCTGGGCCAAATCCTGACTGATGGCGATCCATTCTTGCCTTATTAGTTCTCGGAGTAGTCCACTCGCCTTTTTAGAAATGACCACAAATTCTGTATGGGATTGAGATCCGGGGAGTTGCCTGGCCACGGATCCAAAATTTCAATGTACTGACCATCGATCCACTATTTTATCACTCTTGCTTTGTGACATGGTGCTCCATCATGCTGGA